CCCCCAGTCCAACTGCCTTACCTGAGTCCTGGAGAGCTCCTGGGATGGGGCTGATGGCTGGAAAGAGGGAAGCAGGAAGAGGCTGGAGACCTATAATTTGATGAGCCCTCCCTGCCTCCCTGCCCCCAAGCTTTAGAGCTACGCCATCTCCCCTGGCATCCAGGCCCCTTTCCCCTCTGGTAGGCTATTCTTCTCCCTTCTGACACCTCACTCCCTCATTCTTCCTGATGTCTTCCTCTCTTTCCTCCTCTGACACCCCACTACCCACACAGAACCCAGGCGTTCTGCTTTCCAGCTTCCCAGATACTAAGGCCCAGGTCCCTTGCAGCCATCTCTTATCCCCTGAGTTACCAAGGATCACAAATGGAAGGAGCAGGTGCTGGGACATGGCACATTTGAGTCAGCTGGAGGCACGGAGATGGGCGAAGTTCTGCTCCCAGCCACAGCTCTGTCACTGCCTAAGCAGCCTGTGACTCCTGATGGTCCCAGGAGCCGCCCCACCCTCCCTGGCTGGAGCCCATCTCCGGCAATCTGAGAGGATCTAGGGCTGGAAAGGGGAAGCAGGGAGCCTAGAGGCCCCACCCAGAGCCCTGTGAGCATCTCATATCTCTGGAGGCCCAAGGTGGGGGTGGGAAGCAGATGTCCTAGCTCCAGGACACTGTTGGGTGGGGGGGTGGAGGAGTGGAGAACCCTGTGGGCAAAGGTGGAAGATGAGGACAGCTAGGTGCTGTGAGGCTGATGTTCTGGGTCCTTGGTGAGGCGGGCTGTAGGTTAGCCCAAGCCCTTGGGATGGAGCAGGTGGCCCCTCAGTGGCGTGACTCACCAGAGACCTCACCTCTATTCGGGGTGCGGCTTACCCCAGTGGCTTGGCCTTTTCTTCTCACACAGCTCTGGTTACTGGAGTTGCTGGCCAGGTCTGGGAAGGGAGCCCTAGGGAATTCAATCCCATCCCAACAAAAGGATCACAGATTCCGTCAAGTTGCGCAGGGCCAAGGATTCTGGGAGGAGCCTGGGCAGGCTGGCACAGCCAAAAGGACGTCACCCTTTTCTGTGTTAGAGTGCTCTCAAGTGTTGTCACTTACTCTTTGTGTGACTTTGGGAAAGTCACTCAACTCTTCAGTGTATTTCGATGGCAATCCGCCTAAGAAACATATGGTGCCTCAAAGGAATCAAGGAGAGTTTAATTAAAGAACTATTTACAGAGGTCTAGGCAGGGATAAGGGAAACCAGCAAGGGATGGGTGAAGCATGCTGGGGCTAGCAAGAGTGGAGAGCCCTTCCTGGAGAGGCCAAGAGAAGAAACACATACTGGAGCTGGAAATGGAGAGCCTGGAGGAGAGAGCTCAGTGGGAGCTCCTTCAATGGAGAAATGTGACCTTTATCAACCTGTGGCTCATGCAGGGAGGGAGCTGGGAGATAAAAGTCACCATCTCGCTTTCCTCCTACCCTCCCATCACCTGCCAGCTCCTCCCATCTCTGAAACCTCCCAGAAGCCAGAGTGACAGGGAGGCCATGATGTGGCCCATAAAGGTCACTCTGGGGGAACAGATCAGAATGGAGAAGGGTGGAGGAGAATGGAAATGAAGAGTTGAATAGCCACACACAGGTTTTCCCTGCTATCCGGAAGTAGCGCATTTCTATGAAAACTTTTGGAAGCGGAAAAGGCATAAAGCAAAGAAGCAGTTACTATTAATTTATATGAAAAAAATTTTTTTAGCATTCCCAGATCCAAAAATCAACCTCTTTTCCTTCCTCCCTCCCTCCCTTCCTTCCTTTCTTCCTTTTTTTGAAAAATTTATTTTTAGGTAATCTCTACACCCAAATGTGGGGCTTGAACCCACAGCCCTGAGACCAAGAGTCACATGCTCCCCTGGCTGGGGACTCATCTTTTAGGCTTTTCTCATACCTTAGGTCATATCTTGCTAACAAATGCACAATATAAATTGAGATCAAGCACAGACGCTCACATAGTCCAAAGCTATGATGGCTTGATGCTGGGATGCTGAGTCTAGTTCCCAGGGAAGGAGATCTCCATGACAGTTGACTGCAAAACAAACAAACTCTGAGCACCATTGTCACTTTTCGCCTTTTTTTTGAAAAAGTGAAAATCCCTTCTGGATTTTTTTTTGTTAGTGAAAACAGGTACTAACGTAGGTCTTTCCTAAAAGCAAAGTGGTGGGGCGCCTGGGTGGCTCAGTCGTTTGAGCGTTCATGATCTCACGGGTCAGGAGTTGGAGCCCTGCATCAGGCTTGCTGCGTCAGCACAAAGCCCACTTGGGATCCTCTGACCCCTCTCTCTCTCTGCACCTCCCCGGCTTGCACTTTCTCTCTCTCGTGCGTGCGTGCTCTCTCTCTCTCTCAAATAAATTTAATAAACATTAGGAAAAAAAGCAAAGCGTCATAACGTAAACTTTTGAAAAGCAGGGGATACCTGTATATCTATTTTGTTACCAAGAATATAAGCTAATGATGACTCTATTAGTCCAGTTTCCCTAGTAAATAGAGGTCTGGGCAAACCCTACATGCTTGTGCTTTATTGGGAGGTACAATCCCAGCGCAACAAGAGCAGGGGAAAATAAGATCAGGTGACCAGGGAGAGAGAAAATGCAAATATCGGGACCCAACAATTGAGTGGAGTTAATTGATAACCTTGCTAACCTTAGCTAGTCTGCGGACACAATGAAGGTAAACTTGGTGGCAATAGCTTCATAATAAGTTTATTTGTTTATTATTAAAAACATTTTTTAAGTTTATTTATTTTGAGAGGGACAGAGATAGTGCAAGTGGGGGAGGGGCAGAGAGAGGGGAAGAGAGAGAATCCCAAGCAGGCTCCTCACTGCCAGCTTGGAGCTTGGACTCATGAAACAGAGAGATTATGACCTGAGCCAAAATGAAGAGTTGGCCTCTTAACCAACTGAGCCACCCAGGTACCCTAAAAAAAAAAATTTTTTTTTCACGTTTATTTATTTTTGAGAGAGAGACACACACAGAGAGACAGAGGACGAGTTGGGGAGGGGCACAGAGAGAGAGGGAGACACAGAATCTGAAAGCAGGCTCTAGGCTCCAAGCTGTCAGCACAGAGCCTGATGTGGATGGAGCTCCAGTCCACAAACCATGAGATCATGACCTGAGCTGAAGTTGGCCGCTTAACCAACTGAGCCACCCAGGCGCACCTCCCCCAAATTTTTTTTAATGTTTATGTATTTTTGAGAGAGAGAGAGAGAAATAAAGAGAGACATAGACAGAGTGTGAGTGGGGGAGGGGCAGAAAGAGAGGGAGACACAGAATCCAAAGCAGGCTCCAGGCTCTGAGCTGTCAACCGACTGAGCCACCCAGGTTCCCCTATTTATTTACTTTTTAAGTAAGCTCTGTGTCCAACCTCAGGCTTGAACTCAGGACTCCAACATCAAGAATCACATTCCTGGAGTTTCTAAGTCTCCTGGGGCGCTCATTTTCGGGCATTTGCCCCTCCAAGGATAAAGAACTAGTTATTCAGACAACAAACAGAAAAAACAGGCAATTGGCAAATAAAAGTAGAAAAAAGAGAGTGTATGGGATGGTTAAAGCAAAACATGCATACCAGGAGCACTCTCGCCTACAAAGTATTTGCTGCAATTCAGTAGTTCTCAAACATTTTGGTTTCAGGACCTCCTTACACCTTTAATTTTTATTTTTTTATTAAAATTTTTTTCAATGTTTTATTTTATTTTTTGAGAGACAGAGACAGATCATGAGCAGGGGAGGGGCAGAGAGAGAGGGAGACACAGAATCCAAAGCAGGCTCCAGGCTCTGAGCTGTCAGCACAGAGCCCGATGCAGGGCTTGAACCCATTAATGTGAGATCATGACCTGAGTCGAAATCTGACACTCAACCAGCTGAGCCACCCAGGTGCCCCAACCTCCTTACACTTTTAAAAATTATTGAGGAATCCAAATAATTTTTGCTTATGTGGGTTATATCTATCAATATTTACTGCCTTTGAAATTAAAACTCAGAAATACTTAAAATTATTTATTAATTCACTAAAGAATTACTGCGTTACATGTTCATGTAAGTAACATATTTTTTAATGAAAAATAACTATATTTTCAAAAATCATAGTGAAGGGGCGCCTGGATGGCTCAGTCGGTTGGGCCTATGACTCTTCGTTTCAGCTCAGGTCACGATCTCATTGTTCGTGAGTTCGAACCCCATGTAGGGCTCTGCACTGACAGCACGGAGCCTGCTTGGGATTTTCTCTCTTTGCCCCTCCTCTGCACACCAGCTCTCTCACTCACACTGTCTCTATCTCTCAAGGTAAATAACTAAACTTAAATTTTTTTTTAAATGTAATAGAAAATAGTGAGGAGAGTGATGTTTTAAAAGTGAAAAGAATGACATTTTTGCAAACCTCGCTAGTGTCTGGATTAATAGGCTACAGCTGGATTCTCATATCTGCTTTTGCATCCGGCCTTTTGGAATATCACTGGTCAAGTAGCTGTTGGAAACCTGTATTGTACACTTGATATCATGAAAATAGTTTTGGCCTTGGGCACCCCTTGAAAGGGTCTGTGAACCCCTCCAGGACTTCCAGGATCATATATGAGAACTGCTGTTCTAAAATAATTCTCTCTCTCTCTCCCTCCTTCCCTCTCTCTCTGTCTCTCTCTCTTTTTTTTAAAGTAAACGACATCCAGGGGCGCATTGGTGGCTCAGTCGGTTGGGCGTCCAACTTCAGCTCAGGTCATGGTCTCAACAATTCGTGGGTTCGAGCCCTGCATCGGGCTCTGTGTTGACAGCTCAGAGCCTGGAGCCTGCTTTGGATCCTGTCTGTCTGTCTGTCTGTCTCTCTCTCTGCTCCTCCCCCCTCACACTCTGTCTCTCTCTGTCTCTCAGAAATGAATAAGCGTTAAACAAAATTTTAAAGTAAACTACATCCAATGTGGGGCTCAAACTCATGACTGTGAGATCAAGAGTTGCATGCTCTATCGACTGAGCCAGTCAAGTGTCCCTAAGACAGTAATTCTCAACACTTTCTCCAAATCAACAGACCTGAGAAATAGGACTTGCTCCTTTAGATATGTCGATGCAAAAGGAACAAACCTTTCAGAATCCCTAAAAGTGAGGAAGGGAGTTTTGTTTGAGCCCAAGTTAGGACAGTTGCTTGGGAGACATGGTCTTCACAGGAAGAAGGTGCTCCAGAGGATAAAGAGTTTTTACAGGGTTATACACTTTTTAAAAATGTTTACTTACTTATTTTTGAGAGAGAGAGACAGCACAAGCAGGGGAAGGGCAAAGAGAGAAGGAGAGAGAGAATCCCAAGCAGGCTCCACGCTGACAGCACAGAGCCCAATGTGGGGCTCAATCCCATGAACTGAGAGATCATGACCTGAGCCAAAATCAAGAGTTG